ATGGAATGTCCCTTCATCATCACTCCAATCATGGACAAGTGCAGGAGTAGCCTTTGAGCTTGATGCTTCGGTGTTTGGAGCAGTGTTGAAGAGATGAGGATCATGACGTTTGTTGCATTTGTCTCCGTATCGACACTTGCCCTTGGCCCAGTGCCAGCATGGTTCGTCAATCTTTTTGGTCTTATTCGCTGGAGATTGACTTCTCGGAGTTCCTGGTTTTCGACCAGTACCTTTCGTGTTCTTGTTCGCATCAAACACCTTTTGGTCGTGACTGTATTCACAATCTTTGCCTTTTCTGCATGCTTTCTTGATGAAGTGGAAATGACATGGGATCTTCTTCTTGGATCTAGGACTAGCACTTCGGCTGTTTGGTCGACCGTTTCCTTTCCCTTGACCTTTTCCTTTTCCTTTTGCATGCTGTTTTGGTTGAGGTGATGGTAGAACTGGAGCTGCGTCAGCCTTGGCCTTCGCCTTAGGTGCTGCCTTCTCCTTGGGAGTGGCCTTAGGCTTCGCTTTCGGATTGGCATCTGGCGCAGCAGCAGTTGGATTTGGTGCAGGAGCAGTTGGCTTGCCACCACCTGCAAACTCTCTTGCGTACTTCTCTCTAGCGGCCACATGCTTGTCTTCTCTAATTCTAGATATGTGCCTTTCGGTGACATCCAACAGGTAGCGATAGCTTCGTCTTTGATCTCCTTCAATCCATGATTCATACTGCTTGATGTCAAACATCATGAGACTCGAATTTCGAATCTTCTTGTATAGAGCGTCACGAAGCCAATCGTCAGGAGGTACATCATCCGGCATCATGTTTGATACCATCTCCATCCATTTCTCGTAGAACACTTCCAAGTTGGAGTCACCGAGATACTTCATCGATACGATGTGCTCCATAGTGAAGGCTGTCTCTCGTTGACCTGGGGTTCTGAAGTGTTCCAGGATCATAGCCAAGATTTCTCGTCCCATAACGTACGTTCCTCTTCGACTATGATTCTGTGTTCTCAACCTCAGTTTAATTGCTACATGACGAGCAACATCACCGGCTTGAGCTATAACGTTTGACAATGCAATTGACAACTTGGCGTCGATTGACTGGTATCGTTGCCCGCCACTGTCATTCAGCAGCTCAATGTCAGGATTTGGTCTTATAGCCGGCTGTAGCCATGCTTCCCACGCAGCTTTGTCTCCATCATTCGCAGCAAGAACAACAGTCTTGATGAGATCTGATTGCCAAACCCCAAGGTTCTGTTGCTTCGGCCATGGGCTAACATAGACTTTGTCAGCCTCCCGTCTTGACATTCTCGGTACTTCTTCTGCCGTGTACGCCGCTGTGGAGATGTCATCTGCTGAATCACGTTGTGATCCTCGAACTGAAGGCAAACCAGGAGGTTCTGGAGGTGGTCCTGGACCGTTGGGCCCGAAAGGGTCAGGAGGTCCATCAGGGTCAGGCGGACCGCCCCATCCGCTCGGAGGCTTGTAATAGTCCTTCTCAGTTCCATCGGCGATCTTGTTGTCAACTTCTTTCAGCAGATCGGTGATTCTTTTGTTCGATTGAGAAGGTTGCTGTTGAGAAGGTTCAGCATGTCCGCGATAGGATCGAGCAACATTTGTCTCGTAGGTCAACTCCTTGTCGATCTGTGATACCCAAGATTTTAGGATAGCGTTCTCAGAGTTGGCCTCACTCACCTCATTCTCCAGTTTGTCGATGACCAGTCTTGATGCGAGATCATAGTTGGGGATACCTGCCGAATAGGGAAGTGCATCAGGGCTAACCCTGGACATAGTTGTTTCAGAATCCTTGAGACTCTTTCTCAGTTCATCTAAGTGACGTTTCATGTCAATAATCTCAGAATTCTTGATACCAATCTTTTCATCCCTATCCTGAATTTCCCCCATGAACATGCATGATCTCTCATATTGTTGAACACCACTAGCCAATTTCATTTTGCGCTCACTCTCTAGTTCAGATCTTAAAGTTCGGACTTCAGCATTGGAGAAGGACGACGCCCCATCCGCAACTTCAGTCAATCTTTCTTTTAACAATATGTTCTCCTGTAAACATTCATGGACTTCATGGACTAGATCCTGAACTCTGATTTGAGCTATTTTGGCTTGGTTTCGTAGGTCTTCAACAAGCATCTCATCAGGGCCACGACCGTCGGTCGTAGTGCCCTGAGTCAATGATCTTCGCAACTTCACGTTCTGCCTTTTGATCTCATCCTTCAACTCACAGTTCATCTCCTGCTCGTTGGCGTAGAGCTCTTCATAGCGCTCTGCCCTTGCGATCGAATTTGCACTAGCCTGTGATTCAAGCCTCAGGTGTGATATCGCTTCGGCCTCATGATTCCTGTACGATGCAATTCTTCTGACAGCATCATGTTCAGTATTTCGATGCTTCAGATCACTTTCCAATTTGGCCTGATTTGCCTCGAAAACCTTCTTTCTAGATTCCCTAGTGATCTCTTCAATACTGCTTTCATACAACTCGGCCTGTTTACGAGACTGAACTAGAGCTTCACTCAATAGCTGATTCCGTTCAGACAATTCATGAACTGCAATTGATTGTTGTTGGCTAATCATTTCAAGTTGATTGCTTGAGAAGGATGCCATTTCGGATCGATTACGATATTCCACGATTGAGTTCTGGAAATCCGTCTGCATTTCTTGACCTTCAGTGTACAATCGGTTGGCAATCTCGGTAGTTAAGACATTGGTCTGGTGAAGTTGCTGCAGTCTTGCCTCCGTATTACCCAATAGTCCTTGAAGGTGATGTACTTCATCCTTGTACTCTTCCTGGATCTCCATACCGCGTTGATGGATCCGTCTCGCACCATGTTCCATCAGGGCACCTCGGCGTTCAAGGTCTTGGATGCGTATTGTTGCACCTTCGTCTTCCTGAGATGCTACCATTAGTTCTGCTTGATATTCTGCAACTTCATTTGCGGAGCATGACAATCTATGATTGAGCGCATTGACCTCATCAACTACATTCTGGTTGTGTTCCTGAAGATACTCAGTGAATCTGATCTCGATGTCATGAATCAGTTGATCTCTTGATGCAGCATATGCTTCCATGTGGTTCAATGATTACGTAGGGATTGACATTGTGCCCGTAGTTCTTCTATCATGGCAATAGGTTCACTAGCCACAGAAGTATCCGTTGATCTCCTCTTAACACGACTGTCCCCGGTCCTCTCACCAATTCGGTCGGTTACGGCCCTGGTTGATCTGTCCCTTGGGGTAGTTCGTCCTCGAGATGGCCGATGCCCTTGACGGACAACATCACTTCGAGCACTGTTTCGAGAAGATCTTGGTGTACTTTGGGTGGATATTCTTCGTCTGTTTGATGTAACTTGCCATCCGGACTGTGTAGTTCGGGTAGAGCGTATCCCACCACTGTCTGCCGTGTCGCCAGGGGAAGATTGAGTGACCTCCTCGACCGGCATAGCAGCGTTCTCATTGAAGGTAAACTGCGTGTTGCGCGAGTCTCCGCTGCCGCCCTGCATCTTTGCGATGATGAGCTGATTGGTCCTTTGCGTCCACAATCTTAAACTCAGACGGCCCGGCTACCAGCACGCAGGTACTCCTCTTCCGACGGAAGAAGTGAGCCCTTACGGCTGATAACCTGTGAACAAATAGATCCTTGTCCTGGATATCGTTTCAATTGATCGTACCTGTTGTGCTGGATGTCGCCGAGCCCCTCAAGACATGGCAAGCGGCGCGCAACTCTTTTCCTCACAATGGGCGCTTGAGCCATCATGGCGTCCCATGCAATTGTTGTTTACACATCACATGTCATACATGTGGTATTGCTGAGTTCCATTTGACATATATGATATATATATATATATGAAATACATATATATGATATATATCATATATATTTATGAGTTCTATATATATATATAAATGATATATATATATATGATATATATATAGATATATATGTGATATTTATCATATAATATATATATATATATCCTATATATATATCATATATATATGATATATATATATGATGTATAATTTATATATATATATGATATATATGATATATATATATGATATATATATATATCATATATATAGATATGGTATATATATATGATATATATGATATATATGACATATATATATATATATGTGATATATATGTGATATATATGATATATATATATATATGATATATATATGATATATATGATATATATATGATATATATGATATATATGATATATATATATATATGTATGTGATATATATATGATATATATGATATATATGATATATTTATGATATATATGATATATATGATATATATGATATATATGATATATATGATATATATGATATGTATGATATGTATGATATATATGATATATATGATATATATGATATATATATATGATATATATATATATGATATATATGATATATATATATGATATATATGATATATTTATGATATATATGATATATATGATATTTATCATATATATGATATATATATATATCTGGTTTGTATGATATGTAATGTATGATATGCTTTATATTATGTATTATTTACTATATATAATATATTTTATTTTATATTTTATATTTATTTATTATATATATGAAATAGTATATATTATATATTATATATATATTATATATTATATATTATATATTATATATTATATATTATATATTATATTTATTATATCTATTATATATTTAATATTATATCTAATACATTATATCTTATATATCATATATTATACATGATATATTATATAATAATACATATATATACATAGGGATGCATAGTATCCTTTCCATACACCTTGCAGTGAATGGATGTCAATTTATTTTTCAATGGATACAGGAGGTCTCCGATTGCCACATTGTTTCTTGAAGGATACCGGATACGGTTGATAATTAGTAACCAAAAAAACAAAAATTAGACGACCAAAAAATCGGCCAGAAATGTTGACAATGAATCATCCAGTGCGTTCGGCTGCCTGATCACGTTGCATCCCGAAATACCTGCAGGGCATACTAGGAATCCTGATGTAACGATGCGCTCCTTGCAATCTGGTCACAGATCTTGCTTGTTTGCAAAGTGCACAAAACTTTCAAGATCAAATCAGACGTTGCTGCCACCAGTGTGTGGCATCTCAGAAGTGGTTTCCAGTTTTACAGTGTTTTACAGTATTATACCGGTTTACAGTTCTGTTTTGCAAACATCAGAGCCCTGTTCTGCACATCCGCCTGGCAACTGGATCTGACACTTGGATCCTGGGAAGCTGTGATGGCTTCATCTTGTACCTGCAGCAGTGAAAAAGCAACGGATAAAATATGATAAAACCTCAGCAAATAATATAGATAACTGGTTCATATTGGTTTGGGAGTGTCTTGTGTCTATCCGGCACAGCACTACCTTGAGTGGAAACTCAGCACTAAAAACTTTGAGCCAATAACGGAGTTTTGTTTGCCGAACCCTGGCCTGTTCAACAGCTGCTGTTTCTCCTCATCTGAGAGTGGCACATGCTTTGGGACCTGGACCAGTCGAGGCAGTAAATCGACGTTTCGTTTTTGCTATTGTGCTTTAGCGTCGTGTGGTTGATTGTGGTTGATCGTTCATTGCTGGGTACATGCAGCGGCAAGTCTTGAAATAAGGCGCAGACCAGCTCGTGGTGAGTGATGTTGACAATAAGTTCGTTCTCCGCGAAAACTTCTATCCTGTTGCCGCTGCACAGCACCACAGCACTACATAAAGGTCAACACCGAAACTTCAGCAACCGTGGCTCTGTTAAATAAAGAAGAAGGAAGAAGAAGGAAATGTATCTAGAAATCTCAACCATTGACCGCAAAAAAGAGACCCAAGAAACACACAGCAGCCAGGTGTCGAGATACAGAAGAGAACACGAAGACCAAGAAACAGTGAAATGAAAAATCCACCAACAAACCAAAACACCTGGAGGGCTTTAAAAAAGAAAAGAAAAACATGTAGAAAAAAAAACGGTGGCGCCTCATCTTGGCACTTGCTTCTTGTATGGCAGTTCGTGCCAAAGGCGTTAGCGGCTGCCTTGGATCAACTTGGATCATCCCCATGGCCCCCCATGGCCCCCCATGGCCCCCCATGGCCCCCCATGGCCCCCCATGGCCCCCCATGGCCCCCCATGGCCCCCCATGGCCCCCCCATGGCCACGGCCCGGCGTTAACTGCCAGGCTGACTTTACCACCAGAATGGCTTCTCGAATCTTCCTCTCATCCATCTTTTCAGCGAGGATCCTGCGATGCGAACTCTACTTTCAAAAACTTTGCGGACGCAATGTGTTTTTTGGATTCAAAGTCCTGATTGGCTTGACCCCAACACGCTTGTTTTCATCCTGGAAAGGCAGACATCGGAGCTGGGATTTCCACATGGCATGTAATCAGCCATTTTAATAAGCCCCGGGCTGGGAAGAACACAATCAACTGTCGCTCCGTTTGATGTTGATGGTGCACCAAGATCAAGAACCTGACAAGATCGAACTTTCATCTGTGGGTCATGCCTAGAACAATCCACTGCATTCTACGCGCCTTTCACGGCCCTGACCCTGGTCCTGCGCTTCCTGTGGCCATTGGCACGGCACATGATGAAAAGACATGAAAAGACAGGATAGCAACGAAACACCTTGCCTTCCAGAGTTTCTCGAAGTCTTCTTTCTTCTCTTCTAAACTCCTGAGTCAGAAACCGAATCAAAGTCCAAGTTACGAGGAACTCCTGAATGATTGTGGCTTCTGATGAACCTGGGGCCTTTGCTTCGAGGACACGTAGTATCCACGATCACTGAGCCTGACCGGATCGAGCAATAGAATCGAAGAATCCAAATTTGAGTGTAAAGCAATGTGTTCCCAACATGTCGTTGTACACTACAAACAGTGTGAACTAGCCATAGGAGTCACTAGGAGTCACAGCTGTACTAAGGTCTGCTCATTTGGAAGACCTCAAGCAGAACATAGCAGCACCATTGGCAAAAAACAGAAACTCAGGCAAAGTCACAAAGTTCTTGCATCTCCTTGCTGCCAGGTGACTGTTTTGCGCACACGCCATAGCTTGGTCACTTCGTCGATGAAGGAGGATGCCATGATGCGAAGTGACGTGCCAAGGCAAATGCGAAGCAAAATGAACACAATGCGAATGCAGTGAATGCAGTCTTGAAAACTCAGAACACATTGCGCTGCAAAAGTTTGTTTGATGATTTTGATGGATGACTTGATGATGTTTCTCATTTCATTTGCCGCAATGAGCCCACTGGAACGAAGTCTTCTTCACGGTCCCACGCTTAGGATCAAGCGATTCAAACAAGCGTGTTGCAGGAGCAATTTCACACCGCTCTGCGGATCAAACTGAAATTCTTGCTCAAACCGTTGCGCTGTTGTGCTGCAAGCCATTCACCTTTCAGGGGTCATGCAAATGCCACTGACGATTTGTTGATGTGTTAACCAGAGTGTACCTGGACCTTGCTCGGGTGCAAGAAGCCAAGACAGCCAAGGTCTGGCCTATGCCTTGCTTCCCCAAATCAACACCCAAAGCCTCCATAGCTGAAGTGTTTTACAATGCAAAGGTGTCGTATCAAATCACGACCTTACTTCAAACATGTACTTGTCCATATACCGTATATCATATGAAATTATATTGATGTATATAAAATAAATATATTATAAATAATGAATCAGCTCTCTTCCATATTGTTTCATGTTCACCTGGAATCTCTTGATTTCTCGCTTGCTTTCAGCTTCAGGACACAGATTGAACCGCGCCTCCAAGCGAGTCCTCAAGGCAAGTTCCAGCTTGGAGCCTTCCAAATAACCCATGCCTCACAATCGAAGGAGTTAAAATTCATCGGTTCAAAATCGGAAGTGAATCATAAGCTCTCATGAACTTTGGTCCTTACTGTGTTTATGTGTGTTTTGTGTTCCTGATATTATGAAGCTTTACAGTACTGTTTATCTATCATATCGACATCAATCTGAACATTTTGAGTCTCGGAATCTCGATTTTATTGGCCTATCACGTGGCCGCTGGTGAGCTCTGGTATGGGCTCGGGCCTCAAGCTCAGCTGGTAGACCCGGTAGACCCCATTGGACGCTCCAAAAAATGGTAAATTGTAGATTTACCGTCTGGTTATTTAACATAGCCATGGAAAATGGCCCATTTATAGATGGTTTACCCATTAAAAATTGTGATTTTCCATGGCTATGTTAAATAACCAGAGGGTAGATAGATTTAGGTAACACATCCCCGAGGATCCTGCAAAACCACCTTGCCCTGGAAATGTGGTGCTACCTGCGGAGAGAAGACACGGCTTCGGCGTTGCTGAGAAAAGTCCAGCTGTGATGTTTTTTCGGGGACCAAAGATGTTGATGAATCTGTTGTTTTGATATGGTTTAATCATCCAATTTGGAAGACTCCAAAGTGCGCCATCGCGTCACAGAGGTGGTCGGGCCAGTTAGCTGTGAACCATCAACCGCCATCAACTATCAAAGGTAAGGGGCTCAGAATGATATACTAAGGCTCATCCAAAATTATCATTTACATTCTTTTACATCCTTTTCATTACTTGGAAGATAGGCAAATAATAGCATTCTCAGGAGCCAGTGCAGTGCTGGGAAATGCTCTCGCGCAATGACTGGTGCTCTGGGTGTTGCTGTAATGCACAGCTAGTGGTGAAAGTGGAGAGGGGCTGGTCTTGGCATTTTTTTGCCCACGACGCAATGAAAGTCCTTATAGCCATCGAGACAATTCTTGGGTCAAGAACATGTTCAGCAACTGTTTGGGTGAATAAAAGATGTTCATCGTCGCCTGAAAAGCGGCGTGCAACTCCCGAAGATGGTTTGCCTGTTGGGTCAGGAGTGTCCCCCACTGAACAAGGTTTGCTCTGTGCCTGCGATCTTGAAAAGGAAAATGCTTCAATTGTCCAGCAATGTCCAGCATCTTTGAATCATTCAATATCGCCTCGGACTCATAGTCCAGCTCAGTCGCAAACTGGTGTCGAACCTCAGTCGACATCTTGTTCACATAGGTCATTTGGCAAAAATGCCGAAGCCGTGCCTGGCTCATGATGGCAAGTGCATCTTGGCTGACCTTGCAACTCAATATCACTCATGCCAACAACAACTACCTCCACAAAATTCGGAACATATTGAAGCAAACAATGCTTATCAATGCTCAGTGTTCAGCAAATTCGAGCTCCCTACAAGCCATAGCAATAGCTCAAGGCCTCGAAATTGGATTCGTCAGATTCGTCGCATCTGCATGGCAGCAGAAAAACTTGCGGAAGAAAGGTACCAAAAATGGAGCCGAAGATGGCCGAAGTATCAAAAATCATATTGCCAAGTAGCATCGGAAATCTGCTCTAAGCATGGCGGCAGCATCAGGATACCTCCAAATTTATGCTGAAATTGTAGTCTCTGTCTCTTGGTTTGAATCAATGGGATGAGCCATCGCTGGTTTGGTGACAAATCAACGCGAAAATGTCCTGTCGACAGTCTAAGGCGCACTGCACCTTGACGACTGCAGGCCTTCCGGCGTCACAAAAAGGCGCAGGTGTAGGCAGCAATCACGGAGGTGCCCAAGCTTCAACTCCAGCCTTCCTTGCCAAACCACACGATGTGCCTGCAACGGGTCCAAACATCGGGAGTAAAGTCGATTTCAGGTCTGTCCTGCGAGATGCTGAGAGTGTGGAACATCGCCAAAATACAGAAACGACCTAACCCGAAGATAACCCGAAGAATGCGAAGCCCAAACGATTCGAGTTTAATCCAACAAAGATCCACAGAATAAATCACTTGGGCACAAACATCCACAATGCAGAAACCTGTATTTTCAGGTTTCAGCTGGGTTATAACTATAATCCCAAATAGACTGATAAACCTAAAGGTGGGGAAAGAAAACAACCGTTAAGCGCAGCAACTCAACCCTTTTAGCCTGAGCCGCATAGCTGTAATATGCATCTATCATACATGTGTGTTTTATGTGAGGTGATTTTACACCCCCCTCAGGTGAGCCGGTTACGGCGAGGATGCCTCATTTACCAGGGCGAGGTCTTTAAGACCTGCCTCACCGAACCTGCTCTTTGCAAACCCAAGGGAAACACACTCGGCGGCTATTATACAAAAACCGATCGTCGATGCAAGCAGTGTCCCAACTTATCCCTCTTCCCACTCAACTCGGCCATGCCTGATGACTTTCTCATACCAGCGTCCATGCCACTTCTGCCATTCTCCAGTGTAACGGCGATCATCGTGGGAATGACTTTGCTGAGGGCGGTTGAGCCACTGACTTGCTGACGTGGATGATGAAGCTACCTCTACGGTGGGTGGTCGGGCAACCGGTTTGGCGGTGCCTTTCTTGGAGGGACCTTGGCCGTACGCACCAGTCTGCTCAGCTTTGCGCTTGGCCTCGTTTTGTTCGCGGGCCCTGTCAGACTGTTTCTTCTTCTCTGCTGCGTTCTGCTTGTACAGCTCTTCATTTTGTCCCTTAATCCACCTCAAATGACGTTCAGCATCATGAACAGCAATGTTGTCAACACCAGTGCAAGACAACAAAAGATTGTGTCCAGGATTCCTGCTGAGGTAGTCAATGTACTCTTCTTCGGAGTAGATCTCGGTTCGGTACATGTAGAACCATGGCTGGTCAATGTACCTGAATGATTTTGGGACATCAAGACGGCTTGCCAAATCCAAGTAAACCAGCCTCATCGCGTTGTGCTCAAGCTGAGATTGCTCAGAAATACCCATCTTGACCTGAGCTTTGGTGCGACCCGGCTTTGGCAAATGTGCAGACTTGAGGAGGTCGTACCTTTCACAATCGTACTCGTTCTCCCCCTCGTTCAACACGCTCTCTGCGAATGTGGCGTCTTGGGCAAACCTGTCAGCCACAGACACATAGCCTAAGCTCAAGGCACGGTCGAAACGACTCTTCGCCCTTGCCAACAAATTGGCTTCCGGACTTGAGCTTCCCCTTGCCTGGTCGTCCAACAAACCCAAAGATTCAAGCTGATCGTGTGTGATGCTCTGCAGGTACTCACCACGAAAATCATAGTACAAGCCCAGCTTGTGAAGGGCGGCCTTCCTTCGTTCTGCAATCTTGGTTCGGTCGGCCTTGTTGATCCCTTCGAGCATCAATCCACACACATCGCATTCAATCTGTCCCTTGAAAGTCTGTGCGAAACATCTTGAGCATTGCGTGACTTCAATCTTGACCGGCACCGGCTTCTTGTCCTCCTTCTTCACCTCTTTCTTCGAAGGTTGGTCATCGCCTTTAGGGCGAGACTTCTGCTTTGGCACCAGTGACTTTGATGTTGCTGCTGGCGTCTTTTTGGGTGACTCTGCAACTGGAGCTTTTGGATCTTTCTGCACTGCCTTTGGTGGTGCAATTTTTGGAACAGGCTCCAAGAAGGCCGCAGCCGATGATGCCGCAGGCACAGCTGCAGGCACGCTTGTCAGGGCTGCCTTCTTCTTTGCAGGTTCATCCTTTGCCGCTGCATCAACTTCTGAGGTCACAGCTTTTGGAACTTCTGGTGCATGAGGTGCAGAAGTCCCTTCCTTCGGTGATGATTTTGGAGGTGTCTTTGGCGGTGTCTTTGGTCCTTCAACCTTTGCTGCAGGAGGTTTTGGAGCTTCACCCTTTGGAGGAGGGGGCAACAGTCTGCTGCTTGCATATCCAGGCATACCGGCAAGTTGGGCCACATTTGGTGGCGGAGGCTTCACCTTTCCTGGGAAAAATGTCTTTGCAGCGGGCGCGCCAGTTGAGGCGGCCGGAGATTTGGAACCCGTCCTTTTCGATGCCTTGGCCTCAAAGGTCTCGACAAGCTGCTGGACTCCAACTTCTCCCCCACTGCTCGCTGCAGACTGTGCAATCTCCTGCTGGCGACGATAAAGATTCACCTTCTTGGCCGTGTCATCCACAGAGATGATGTATTGTGGCGGTACGACATCGCTTGTAAGAATGCCGTCGGAAGCTGTCCTGAAAAACACGATTCCAGCCTTGACAGCTTCTGCCATTGCAACCCTGATTTCAATGGGTCGCTCAGCACGCAAACCGCTCACATACTCTTTCTCATCAACACGAACGTCGCTAAAGTAAGAGTGAGCTCTTCCTGACGAGTTTCGTTCTCCTCCTCCAGCCACGAAGCCATTCTCAATGATGCCCTTCCAATTGCCTTTTGTAGTCCTGTGATAAACTACGCCAGGGCACATCTGAGGAGTGGTAATCTTTTTACCTTTGGCGTTCATTTTCTGGATCGCTGCTGCTCCAGACAGAGCATAGATTTCCACTGCGTTGAACGTGTCCTCAGCTGAAGCGGCTTCCATGGCACGTTTCGTATGCCCCTGCACTGCGCGGATCCTGATGGGCCAGTAGGCTAACCCTTTACGGGTTGCCTTCTGGTACCCGGCAATGCACTGGAACTCAAAACGGCACTTGTTGTCCCAGTAGAGCAATGAAATGAGCTCTTCAACTGTCATTCGGGGCAACTTGGCTGGCAGCATTTGGTTGAACATTCGAAAGAAGTCATCAAGGTCAAGCCACATGTTTTCATCAAATCCAGAGGTGTCCTGACCCGGCTGTCCACGCGTCACTGCATTGACCTTGGTCTTGTGTCGGTCCATGCGTTCTGGGTACCTCAGCTCCTTTGCCCCATCCATCTCCCAACAGGTTTTGACGATCAATTCGTAGGGATGGGCATCAACGACGCAATGTTCAACTACTTCTGCATTTATGTTTTCGTCCAAAGTGATACGATATTTGTCAAGGTGTCCAAGTGCGTGTTTCGGAATGATGGTACCCTTGATCTCGTTTTCTTGCAGGGGCTCACCAGCTGAGGTGGCCTGAGTTGAATCCTCCTGCGTCGTCTGAGGTTTCGCCTTGGGGTCAGGCGGAGCTGCGTGGCTCGCCTTGGCTTTGCCAACAGATGGGCCCTCGTGCTCATCGGGATCCAGAGCATCCCATGGGTCGCCTTCCTCATCATCATCTTCGGCGACACCAGCATCAGTCGGGCGATCCCTCAACTCCTCCGCTGTAAAGCTTTCCGGGGTCGAGACACTCGGTGCAGGCTTGTTCACCTTCTCCCGGAGAGAGTTGAGAACCTGCACAAACCTGACTGGAAGGTGCTCCATCTTAGGCGGGACATCGCGCATTGTAGCTTCACCTGCAGGGCGCCTGCGCTTGTACAAAGACAGGTTGTACTAAGGGATCAAAATGTCCGTCATGTGCAGCATGTGGAGAGTTGCCATGACATATCCGATCATCTCGCTTCGGTTGAGCTCGGTCTCGAATGCGTGAAAGTAGTCCCTGAGCTCAAGCCTCGGTGGAAGCATGTCATTCTTGATCCACCGAATCCGATCGTTGTCACTGGCAATCTCCTTGTGGAACCATTCCTTCAGACGTTCAATAAACGTCGTGAAGATGAGACTCACACCATAAGTGAGCGGGTCGGGCTCGCCGATTAGGGCGGCCTGATCCACTCCCAACTCCTTGAGCTGATTGTTCCACCAAACAATGTTGCCTTTGACCCTGTCCATGATGGCATTCCAGTCACCCTGTGGTTCCCTCTGCCCCCAAATGGGAAGGGGTTCAACACCATGTTCCCCACAAATTTCATTTCCAGACCAAAAGATCACCGAAATAACCCTGATGGCTGATCCATGAGAAGAATATTTTGCCATCAGCTCCTTGGTCATGGAAATATTTGCTTTGCAGAGCTGTTGTAAATCCTTACCCCAGAGCATGTCATGACCGATTTCGAGAACCATGTCTGATTTTCGCAATCCCAGATCCTCCTTCAAGGTGTACTTCTTCAAAGTCTTACCCTTTCCAGTGATCAGAGCCAAAGTTGAATCGGAAGTCACCACATAGATGGTGGGCACGACGTCTACCGCCGGCCTTGATGTCCCAGGGACGTACTCAGTAGGCAAGCTCAGATCCCACAGTGAGTCATGTTCCAACTCGGACAGATGGCGGATCTCCTTTGCCCACGGCACGTTCGTCAGGGCGTCCGTAGACATTGACTGCGCAGTAAAACACTGCATGAATCCTGCAGCCAACTCAAGGTCTTCTGTTCTGTTGCCCTGTGCCAGGATGGTTGACGAAGCGAGGATCGTAGAAAAGATGTCCTCCCACCCTGCGTGCCTATCCCCCTGAACATCAAGGCACTTCCGAAAAGCAAGCCACTCCGACATGTTGCTCTGCTGGGGCACGGTCTTTAAACCGGCCGACTTGAGAGCCCGCACGTTCATCTTTTCAGCAATCGACAAGTTTGAATCTTCAGAACGTCGGCTCATGGCGGGCAAAGCTAACCTTTTCCTGTTCTTGGCGGTTTGTGCCCGGTTAGCTCTGGAACGAAAACAATCATGGATGAAGTCAGTCAACTTGAATGTGTAGTTCTCTGCAAGCTTCAGTGCAGTACTCCGGCTTTGACCATGAGTGTGGGAACCATCACAAACGTATTCCGATAGACTTGACAACTCTTCCATGTTTGTTGCAATCATCCAACCCTTTTTCATGGGATTCCCGTCCATGTCAATAACCCCAAACTGGCAACCGTGGAATGGATACAATTTCAACTCTTGTCTCTTCAAAAACGATTGAACCATTGGCCATTTCCAATACTTGCA